TCGAGCCGCTACAGTCTGCCAACATTCGGTCGCTATCGCTGAAGACTGCTCTGCTTCTAGCACTGGCATCAGTAAAGTGAATAGGGGACCCGCAGGCGCTCTTTATTAGCCCTGCCTGCCTGAAATTCGAGCCTAATGACGCTAAAGTCGTCCTGAAACCAAGGCACGGTTACGTACTTAAGGTGCTCTCTACTCCGTTCAGAGCACAAGGCATTATGCTCTCTGCGCTTCCTCCAACTGAAGAGGACAGAGAGCTGTCTCTGCTCTGCTCCGTCAGAGCTCTGAGAATCTATATTGAGAGTTCCGCCCCCTATAGACGTGTGTGTCCATTGCGGATAATTGTGAGGCAGCCAGCTGGGCCTCGCCATCCACATTCGCAAGTTTTTATAACCTGGAAGTCCTGGCCTTGCAGGCCAGGGTCCTTTCCGCTTAAAGTGACATGCGCTGCGTAAGCAGATCTGGCAGAGAGCCCTTGGCCGTATCACGCTCAAGCTCTCTGGCATTGTTTCACCTGTTAGCTCTCGACCCCTGGGTGTTGGAGTTACAGGAGTACTCTGGAACGATTAACCTGGCCGGGTGTGACCTCGGGAAGCTCAGCCCGTCTTAGCCTTGGGTTGTTGTTAACTTCTCTATGGGCATTGGTTGCTTATGGAAGTTTTATACTTTTAGTCGTTCCACTACATTAGCACGGCGTGATTGTACTGTGTTCCCATATGCGTCTAGCAAGACGCAGTATGAGTCTAGTATTACTAACTAGGTTACTAATGTAACCTCGGTTCCCTGAGATACGGGAACGAGTACTGCATTGCTAGCCGTGCTATGTAGCTGCACGACTCAGTTGTCGCTTCAGTCGAGGTAACCTACCGTGCAGTTTCACTGCGTGAATGAAAAGGCTTTAGTTCAGGAGAAAAAAGGCTTTTTTCCCATATGCGCCTAGCAAGACGCAGTACTCGTTCCCATATCTCAGGGAACCGAGGTTCCGTTAGCAACCGAGTACGTTTTTTTTTAAACTGAACGAAAACTGAAATTCTTATTATAGCTGCTGCTGCTGAACTTGATGCGAATCTGATACTGCTTTAAATGTGACTCATAAATAATATATCGCCTTTTTTGTAACTTTGTGACTTAACTGACGACATAACCACGACATTGCATGCTTGTAGTTTCTTTCATGCTTTGAAATGAAATGATAAAGGCTACAGCATGCGCTGTCGTATTTGTGCATGCAATTGAAGAGCACATGCTAGGAGTGCAGCAGTTCGCTGTTGTTCTACTGATGCTCCTCGTCACTGGTACCATTTCCGCGCTCGTTTGACTCGCACCTGGTGCTGAGGTGACATGGGCTGCATCCCAAAACTTAGGCAGCTGACTTGTTGCCTCGCTGCCCTATAAGGCAATGACTTACAGGCAGCGTTTGCGCATGAAGGCACCTCATGAAACTGATTTCGGACAGACTTCTGAGGCAGAGTAACGGTTTAATGATCTACAGCTAAATATAGAGAGCTTTGGTGATAACTAAGTGAATATTTAATTACTGCAATATTAATTTCTCGCTAGAAATGACATTAAAAGTGGAAAACGTTGATCAAAAACTTACATTTACACGTTGTACGTTGCACATGACCACCGACCGCAACTTTCAGATGCCATCTTGATTTTTTAGCTTAACTGTCACAGAATGGAACACACAGGATTGTGGGATATCAAAGGCAGGGAAGGATACATCTATGTTGCCTTGAAAAATCGGCCAGATGAAGGCATCTCAGGAGACAGGAACTGAAGCTAACATTGAATTCGGACGTGCCTTGATGCCTTCCTACCTTGGAATGCGTCTTCCGAAGGCAGCATTTTTCAGTTTTCGGATGCAGCCGTGGAGTGCGCGTCTGAAAAGTCTTCTGTTTGATGTGCTCGTAAAGACGTTCTGCGCATCTAAATAAACAATTCTTTAGCAGTTGTGTGTGGGGTGGCCAAACCTAGCTCCGCCCCTTTGTTAATTGCGTAAAATGTTGAATATTTTCTTATATCTGTGGAGCCCTATAAAATCTGTTTCACCCTACGTTTTAGTGGACTTCATGCATTGAATGGTTGCTGTTTTTTTTTTACCAGTTTAGTGGTTACACAGTTTTTATATATTTTTTAAATATTTGATACTTTTTTTTTTTATATTATATTTTTAAAATATAAACATTTTGTTTAACATTATACTAGAAGTAGGTAAAAAAAATTAAATAAAATGAAGGTATAAAACTGAAGTATAAAACGAAAGGGTGCCAATAATCCTAAAATAGTTCTCGTAGTAAGAATGTAATAACATTTTCTTTCAATTATTTTACTTCCATTAAAGATGTACAGACTCTGGAGGAGCTGAGTTTATGTGTGCTGTCTTGGCTGAAGGAAGTGGTGAAGGAAAAGCATCACTGGAGGGAGATTACTGAGGCCCAAGTGCAGCTGCTCAGAGACTTTGCCTTCCAGGAGTGGCTTTGTTCCCAGAGCCTGGAGCACTACTATCACACGTGAGTTCACATACACATCATTGTCACTCAAAAAACATCAACAGCTATGTATACATCAGCTTTCTAGTGGGAGAATGAGAAGAAGGGATCACATTGTTAGTGATTTCAGAGTTTATTGTGACGGCAGAGTGATGGATGAAAGAATGAGAGGAGGTCTGGTCAAGCCAGGTTCAAGTGCACCCCACATTAAATGTGTCACGCTACGGTGTAGATCAGGGTTCCTCAAATCTTGCCCTGGAGGGCCAATGTGCTGCAGAGTTTAGCTCCAACCCTGATCAAACTCACCTACCTGTGATTTTCTGATGATCCTGATGACATTGATTAGCATGCTCAGGTGTGTTTGATTAGGGTTAGAGCTAAACTCTGCAGGAAAGTGGATCTTGTGGGCTAGATTTGAGGATCCCTGGGCTGCATCCGAAAACTCTAAAATGCTGCCTTCGGAGGCAGAATCCAAATTCTGCTTTACTTCCTGTCTCCGGAGGTACCTTCTTCTGATTGAATTTTGAAGGCAGCATAGATGTATCCTTCGCTGCCTTTGATATCCCACAATCCTGTGCGTTCAATTCCGTGACAGTTGAGCTAAAAAATAAAGATGGCATCTGAAAGTTGCGTTTGGTGGCCAGTTTGTGTGTAAATGTATATTTCTGACTAACTTTTTGCACTTTTGATGATATTTCTAGCGAGAAATCAGTATTTTAGTGATTACATTTTCATTTACTTATCACAAAAACTCATTCTATTTTGTTGTAGATCATTAAACTGTTATGCTGCCTCAGAAGCCTGTCCGAAATCAGTTTCATGAGGTGCCTTCGTGCAAAAACGCTGCCTGCAAAGTCATTGCCTCATATGGCAGCGAGGCAGCAAGTCAGCTGCCTAAGTTTTCGGATGCAGCCCTGGTGTAGATGAACACACATGAAGATGATGAAGGTTGACAGTCTTTAATAAATCCACATATAGGTAGTCCACACAGAGGAAGGTAGTAACAATCAACGAGACCCAACAAACTGAAACTGAACAGACAGGAATTTAAATACACAGACCAATGAGGGACTAATGATTAAATTAACTAGACACAGGTGAACTGACTAACATAATCAAGGGGAGACAGGAATTAGGTCAAGGGAACACATGAGGAATGAAAACAAACTAAAGTCCATGTGGTTGTGACAAAATGACGATGCTCCTTACCATGTTACTTCTGAGAAAGTACAGCTCCTGTAGCCATCTCTGACGTGTCTGTCTGCTTGATAAATGGCAGAGAAAGTCAGGAAGTTCAAACATTCACTCATCCATCTATCCTGTCTGTTATATAATGGCTCTTCTTTATACTGTATTTCGGCAGCCTGAAGACCCTGGGCTGCACTACCCTGGATGATCTAGCACAGTTTGACAGCCAGCTTCAGCTTTCTCTAGCAGCGTGGGGCTATTACTACGAGGATTACATCAAACTGTCCACAGGTGTGAGGGTCCTCCAGGCATCTAAGGGAAGTAGAGATCAAGACTACGAGATTCAGCTGGTGCACAGCCTTGCTGAGAGGCGGCTGAATGAGAAGTGGTCTTTTGGTATGTATCCTATTGTTCGAATTTACCTCGAAAGGGTTCATCGGATGTCCATTTTTCACAAGTTGATATGATTCTTTAGGGTCTTAATGAAAAGTCTATAACGTACTTTGTGTTAAGTAAAACAGTGGTTCCCAACCCTGGTCCTGGAGGCCCCCCAATACTGCACATTTTGCATGTCTCCTTTCTCTGACACACCAATTTCAGGTCTTGGAGTCTCTACTAATGAGCTGAAGATCTGAATCAGGTGTGTTTGATTAAAAAGACATGCAAAACATGCAGTGTTGGTGTGCCTCCAGGACCAGGGTTGGGAACCACTGGTCTAAAACAACACCCTTTTAACCTGTCAAAAACAGCTCTGTTCACAGCAAGCCATTATGGTGCATTTCTCTTTAAATGATAATGAGCTCTGCTCACCCTGCCCCTTTCTTCTGTGGGGTACGCAGTTCTGTGAGAGACTGTAAACTTTAGCCGCATTCATCGTGAAACTTTCTAACTAGCACATTATTAGGAAAAGCAATTTTCTAAATTAATTAAAAAAACGTATACTCACTACTTATGTAGGTGAGGCTGGATCACGAATGATTCGTGCGAACATAGACTAATTTAGGTAGATTGGGGGTGCATTCCCTTAAAAAAACAAAGGTAATCCACTGCGTCTTCAGCAGCTCAGATGTCAGGAATAAATTACGACTGCTATGTTCATTATTACATCCAACAACAAAACACCTCAATTGCTTAGGAGTCATTCTGGGGTGTATTCCAGAAAGCATGGTTAACTTACCGTCAGCTAAACCCTGAACTTTCGTTTGATTAGCCCCAAACCTTGCTTACTCGAGGTATGTGGTTCCAAAAACGCATCCGGGAGTAAGTTCATTCAACTCAGAGTATGTTCCTGGTTAAGACTCAAGACATTCTCAACAGAGCGACGAATCGACGAGTCACTATGGAAACGGACGCTAAGAAAAAGCGTGCCATGCTGTTTCTTTCTTCTTCTTTTGTTCAATGGTCGTTTACATGCTTAGTGCATATCCACCACCTAATTGATGGTTGTGCAATCTTTTTTTTTTTCCCGTTTAATCTTTAATTCTTGAGAATATGAATTATATTGTTTGTTTGATGCTAATTATATATTAAGTCATAGATAAAGGGACGTGACAGTACTGAAACACTGTCTAAGCTGTTCGCCAATCACAGCGCACTGGGACAGCTAACCAATCACAACACATTTTGTTTTTCGGAAGGCGAACCTTCATCAAAGCCGGAACTAATCGAGCCGTTTGTGCCAGGCTGGGGAGAAAGGTATTTTAATAATGTACATTATGTGAAAAATAATGTGTTTTTCGAACCACAAAGCATGAGAGCATGTTCTAGTACACCCCCAAAACAAAATCGAGACTTTGTAAAAGAGCATAATAGGATCCCTTTAAAGTTTGTCAATCGCACATCTCCAGTGAGGCTGAACTCTCCTCCTGTCCGCATTCAATTCAGAGCACACAGAGCACACGCGATCATGCAGGATACACATGCACACTTCACAAGATCTCACAACTGGATCCGACTAAGTTTGCAAGGTTTGCGAAATTAAATGTTCATTAGTCATTCAAAGATTTGTTTAAATGATATAAATGCGTATTTGCTGAATGCTGACAGCAAATGAGAAAGTATTATAATGTTTGCCTTTCTATTACTAATAATATTAAAGCAATCGTTATAATACTTTTTTGTATACATTTTAATTCCTTTTGTTTAACAGTTCTGTCTGATTATTAGATAGACTTCTATCTATATTAGACAGAACTGAATGACAACAGCGAACAAGAGGGAGAATGTGAGCACTGTGTGCTCTGGCGCACAGTTCTCAGCGCTGCCAAAATAAAAGTCCCGCCTCGAACACATCGGCCAAACAGAAAAACTTATCGGCCGATGCCGATATTTGAAAAATGCCAAATATCGGTCGACCACTAATGTCACCACTAATGTCACATAACCTGCTTTTTGGAATACCCCCCTGGTCTACACCTGCTCATGCGTTGAAACAATGGCGGACTGTTTACAGCTCACTCAGGGAGGGTTTAAGGTAAAACACCAGTGTCAATCGACAATCGTGGGAGGGGCCTTGGCCTGTGTGACGTCAAGAATCTGAGAATGGCTTGATTTTAGAAAAGGGGTCATGATTTATCAATATTAAAAAAAAAAAAAAACACTGTGGATTTTTATCATTATAGGGTGGTTGTGTACACACACTGCCAACACACATTTCAGTTCAAACAACATGTAAAAGTGAATTTTGCTGAAATCCGATGACCCCTTTAAGTCATTTGTTTAAAAAGGGTGAAAAACAGAGGTCAAAACATATATCTAGTGCATGTTTATTAAATAAAGTGTATGTATTCCAGATAAAATACAAGACTTAACAATCCCCAAATCTACCTCAGGAAGACTGACAAACTAAATTGCTCTAAATGGATTGCATTTGGCCAGTGAGAGAACATTAAAACATACAATAATGACTTCTAAAGCCATTTTTTGTGAGACCTATTTAGTGCTTCTGTCTGCAACAGTACTGAAATGCCTTTAAAGTGGTCATATGATGGTATTTTTGAAGATCATTTTGTTTATTAAGTGTAATAGAATATGTTAGCCTGCTTTAATAGGGTCCTATTATGCTCCTTTACAAAGTCTTGATTTTGTTTTGGGGATGTACTAGAACATGCTCTCATGCTTGGTGGTTCGAAAAACGCATTATTTTTCACATAATTTACATTATTACAATACCTTTCTCCCCAGCCTGGCACAAACGGCTCGATTAGTTCCAGGTTTGATGAAGGCCCGCCATCCAAAAAACGAAATGTCATGTGATTGGTTAGCTGTCCCAGTGCGCTGTGATTGGCGAACAGCTTAGATGGTGTTTCAGTACTGTCACGCCCCATGCCAAAGCAGCAAGTTCCGTCTGCTCTGGTATAGTTAAGGATGGTGTCAATATTGCCATATCAATTTGAGCCGGATTCAGACCCCGAGAATATTGAACAAGAGGATCGTGCAGAACCTTTGCACGCACAGATATTGCAAGACATATCAGAGTGGTAACGTTATTGTTTTTTTTGTTTTTTTGGCTAAATCACATTTTAGATACGATGTCAACAACCGCTTGAAAATAACTGCATTTACTATGTACAGATAAGTGCATATTAATTATGTACAGATTAATTATGTACTATGTACAGATAAGTGCATAATATGTATTATGTTTATTGTTCTTTAATTCTAACATTATAACATGAATTGCAGTGGAAACTGTTATCCCACACTTAGACTCTATTTGTGGTAGCATATATATGCAAATTCATACACAAAGCACACAAAGCAGTGCTGTACACGGCTGTACACAAAGCAGCGCTCCGCTTACAAACGCTGCTTTATCAGACATTACATGCAAGATGAAATGGAAATGACATCCAATTTTCTGAAGACAGTCGGTTTTTGTTCTCTCTGACTCATTGGATGGAAACAGTGCTTGTTCACAAATGTTTTATGCGATATTCCAGTTTTGCGCATAAGTTAAATTCGCAACTTTGGATGGAAACCCGGCTAGTGTTCAGTATTGTACTGTCAGCAATTTATTATAAAAATGTTTTCATAATTGTAACATACATATTTACATACATAATTATTCAGGTGCACGTATAATAACTTGAGGCTACAGCAGCACTTCTTCTTCGTCGTCGTCTTGTCTGATGCACTCAACCAAGCGTTCTAACCACTCTGTAGATCTTTTTTATGCCCAAACATACACACTATACACTGACTAAAATTCAAAAAGTGAAAAAGCGTAATAGAGGGGGGGTAATTATGACTGGCCCTGGGTGATCACAGCGAGTAGTAGAAGTGTTCTATCACGCGAGAACAGCCTAATCAAAGGTAAGTAAGCTTGTCGTAGAACCAAATTACCATCCAATCACAATTCGTTATCGATTAACTTGGAGTAAGTGAAGGCGGGATGGATAGGCGGAATCACGCGCTCTCTGGGTCATGCGATCCCAGTTCTGCGATCAGGGGTGTATTCCAGAAAGTGGGTTTTGTTGGAAACTCAGAGTTTGTTAACCCCTGAAAAGGGAAACTCAGTGTTTTCGGTTCCAATAAAAGACAAAACTAAACCTCTCGGTAAGTTACCATAGTAAGGTACTCTGTGAACCTAACCTGGTCGGGTTTAAATACCTCATTCATTCATTCATTCACGCTGCAAAAATTGCTTTTATTGTTGAGATTTTTGCCTTATTTCAAGTACAAATATCTAAAAATTCTTAAATCATGATGCATTTTCTATATAACTATAGAATATATAAATATATACGATATCTAGTCTAAAATTAATTGCCAGCGGAGTAAGAAAAATAATCTTAATGAAAATGGAAACAAGATTATTTTTCTCACTGGACCACTTTCATTTTCATCATGCAGACAAGGTAAATGTGACAAAAATGGCATGTCTTTTTATAAGGGATCCTGTAGATGAGGAGGCTGCATTAATTCACGGGGAGTTAAATTTACACCAGGAGAGGAATTTATTTTACTTTATTTTATTTTGCCATATCCACATGCATTTTTATTTGAACGGTACCATTATTAAATGGCGTTTACTTGACAACATCTTGTTGCGACCTCCAAGTAACCTAATAATTAGAATTTCCTTTAGGATTTCCAGTGTGGTTGGATGCATTGATTACACACACATTCTCACCATCGCATCTTCCAAAAATGAAGCTGATTACTGTATGGAATGGAAGGATGCCAGATGGAAGGGTCGTGCAAGATATATGCCGTAACCACCACCACAGCTGTTAAATAAACACAAATTATTCACAATTTATTTGGTCATCTTTATGTTCTACAAATACAAAAGCAACAAATTATTATTCTTTTCCCTGTTGGATTTTAATATTGGTATTGTGGCCATCTCCTCTTCATTTGTCAGGGGTGCTGGTGCAGGTTCTCCTCCCATT